TCTGTGAATAAAAAAACAGCCAGGTAAAAAGCTGAGCCAGCAATCCAATCGGTAAACAACTGAGCTGGCAAACTAATCTTAATGTTAGGCAGAAAAGTGTTTATATAATATATAATGATTAACTTTGTAACTATGGGAAATGACTGCCTAGGAAGGAGTACTCTGGAAAGGGATCTGGGGGTCATAGTGGATCACAAGCTAAATGAGAGTCAACAGTGTAACACTGTTGCAAAAAAAAGCAAACATCATTCTGGGGTGTATTAGCAGTATTGTAAGCAAGATACAAGAAGTTTCAGAGTAGCAGCTGTGTTAGTCTGTATACGCAAAAAAGAAAAGGAGTATTTGTGGCACCTTAGAGACTGACACATTTATTTCAGCATAAGCTTTCATGAGCTACAGCTCACTTCATCAGATGCATGCAGATACAAGAAGTAATTCTGCCGCTCTACTCCACACTGATTAGGTCTCAACTGTAGCATTGTGTCCAGTTCTGGGCACGAAATTTCAGGAAAGATGTGGACAAATTGTAGACAGTCCAGAGAAGAGCAACAAAAATTATTAAAAGGACTAGAAAACATAACCTACGAGAGAAGATTGAAAAAAATTGGGTTTGTTTAGTCTGGAGAAGAGAAGACTGAGAGGGGACATGATAACAGTTTTCAAGTATGTAAAAGGTTGTTACAAGGAGGAGGGAGGAAAATTGTTCTTCTTAACCTCTGAGGATAGGACAAGAAGAAATGGGCATAAATTGCAGCAAGGACGGTTTAGGTTGGACATTAGGAAGAACTTCTTGTCAGAGTGGTTAAGCACTGGAATAAATTGCCTCGGGAGGTTGTGGAATTTCCATCATTGGATATTTTTAAGAGCAGGTTGGACAAACACCTGTTAAGAATGGTCTAGGTCACTGTTTCCCAAACTATATTCTGCGGAACACTGGTGTTCCGCACGATGTGAATAGGTGTTCTGTGAAAGAATCTAGAATTTAATTTTGACGCTTGCACTTGATTTTTGTACTACTTTGTACATGCTCTCTAGTTAGAAATTGTTAGTTCAAGTTATTTTAAAATTTGTATTTTTGCTTGTTTTATAAAATAAAATATATTTGAGCAAAAATATTTTTTTTATTTGAAAACCAAACGACTACAAAATAATATTTTATTATATATTATATTATATTATATAAGTGTTCCATAATAGGCCAAAAAGTGTTCCGTGGCCAAAAAGGTTTGGGAAACGCTGGTCTAGATAATACTTAGTCCTGCCTTGAGTGCAGGAGACTCGAAGTCATTTCCAGTTCTATGATTCTATGAATGTATTTAAGGCAAGCCCCTGAATGTGGGTGTGCACTTGCATTTAATCCTGTGCTGTGCCCTGTTTCAGTGGACTAATCACAGTGAACAAACAACATACTTCTTCAGCTCAAGAGTCTGTGTGTGAACCTGTTCTGGGTAGCAGGGTAAAGAATTGGTCAACACTATGAGCCTGCTTGTCAGTCACACACCTGAAAATATCACCATGATCACAGCAATTTATTTTTTAAAAAACCAACAGATATCTAGAACAAGTAGTCTAGAACAGTGGTTCTCAACCGGGGTCCAGGGACCTCTAAGGGCCATAAGCAGGTTTCAGGAGGTCCCCCAAAATAAATCAGAGAGCAGAGCCGATGTTAGACTTGGGCCCAGGGAAGAAAGCTGAAGCCCAAGCCCCGCCACCCAAAGTTGAAGCGAAAGCCTGAGCAACTTAGCTTTGTGGAGCTGCCTACGTAGTCAGGCCCTGAGACATTGTCCTGCTTGCTACCCCCTAATGCCAGCCCAGGCTTTTAATCTACTGAATATGGAGAAAAACAGTTGTTGTGGCACAGGTGGGCCAGGGAATTTTTATAGCATTTCAGAAAGAAAAAGATAGAGAACCCCTGGTCTAGAAGGCACCCCTTCCCATGTGTTACATGTTACAAATTATTAAATCAGCCTTCATTGTTTGGGAATTGTTGTGTTTATCCAATAATCTGTGAGAAACGGTCCTCCAAAAATACAATCAAATGAATCAACTGTAAATGTCCATAGGTGAAATGCTGAAAATGCTGCCTTTTCAGTTGTCTGTAGGAAAAATATGTGCCTGTTTATGCTTTCCCCCCCCCCTCTTCAAATGCCAATACGAAAGCTGTATGCAGAGTAGTTGTGGCCATGTCAGTCCCAAGACATTAGGGAGACCAGGTAGATGAGGTAATATCTTTTACTGAACCAAATTCTGTGGGTGAGAGAGACAAGCTTTCAAGCTGAAGAAGAGCTCCGTGTGGCTCAAAAGCTTGTCTATCTCACTAACAGAAGATGGTCCAATAAAAAAATATCACCTCACCAACCTTGTCTCCCTAATACTAGGGCTGGATGAAAATTTTCCACCTGAATAGGTTTTTGACAGAAAATTGGGGTTTCTGCAAAAAGTGAGTTTTCTGCAGAATTTATTTTTTCTTTAACCCTCCTTCTCCCTCAAATCCCTGAAAACTGAAATATATCTGTGTGGATATGCTACCATGCCACCTCATGGGACTTGTACTTTGGTTGCCTTAGGTCCCCATTCTCATCTATGGGCTGGGCTCCCAGGCTAGACCACATCCCCCAGGATTCGCCATTGCCTGGGCCTTTCATGCTTGGAAATGGGTGGTGGTGCATCATGGCACTGTGGTGCATAGGACATTGTGATTTGCTCCAAAAGTGCATAAGGCACCCACACTACCCTTCCCATGAGACACCGCAGCAGCATTTCTGAACTGATTTTGGTGGGATGGGGGTTGCCTGAATATTTTTAGTTTTGGCCAACAACAATTTTTGGTATTTGAGTTCTTGCCCCCAAATCAGAATTTTCTATGGAAAACCCCCTCATTTTCCAACCAGCTCTAGTAAGTACACTCTTCACCATGCGATTCAGACAACATGCAAAGCACCTTGTGGGGAGTCAACCTAGACTTCTCCCCGGCATGGCCTTTGTCAAGCAGTCTGCCCTGAAAACTGCTCTACATTCAACTCCTCCATTTTCGGTAACAGTTTCTCTTAGATAATGCTTTGCTTTTGAAAATTAAAAGTCTGCATTTCAGGAAATGCAATTTAACCAGTAAAACAGTATAATAGTAGGAAAATGTAAAGATAGGACCCATGAAGCACTCCTTTCACAGTAGCGGAGTACAGCACTGTATACAGATATGTGTATGAGTCTTCCTTATTTCATGTTTGTGAGAAGTTGGATCACAGAAACCCCTTTGGGGTTGCCAACTGATGTGTCAAAACTACTTCTGCCCCTGCTTACCTGCCCTGGCAGCTTGGGATTTCAGTGTCCTGCCTGGTTTGAGCCAGACCTGCTAGCCTGCTGCAGAACAAGACCCAGGTCTGAACCATGTCCTCTAACAGCTGTAGGCTTAAACTGAAAGCAGCTTAAGAAGTGTTCCTGTCTTTGACATTCAGATGCTCATCTCCCAATGTGGTCCAAACCCCAAATAAATCCATTTTACCCTGTATAAAGCTTATACAGGGCAAACTCATAAATTGTTCGCCCTCTATAACACTGATAGAGAGACATGCACACCTGTTTGCCCTGCCCCAGATATTAATACATACTCTGGGTTAATTAATAAATAAAAAGTGATTAAATACAGAAAGTAGGATTTAAGTGGTTCCAAGTAGTAACAGACAGAACAAAGTGAATTACCAAGCAAAATAAAATAAAACACACAAGTCTAAGCCTAATATAGTAATAAAACTGAATACAGATAAAAACCTCACTCTCAGAGATGTTTCAAGAAGTTTCTTTCACAGACTGGACACCTTCCTAGTCTGGGCACAATTGTTTCCCCTGGCCCTTGTTCCAGCTCAGGTGGTAGCTAGGGGATTTCTCATGACTGCAGCCCCCTTTGTTCTGTTCCACTCCCTTATATATCTTTTGCACAAGATGGGAATCCTTTGTCCCTCTTTGGGTCCCTAACCCCCCTTCTAAATGGAAGAGCACCAGGTTTAAGATGGATTTCAGTACCAGGTGACATGGTCACATGTCCTGTAAGACTCCAAGCCTTCATTCCTCCCAGCCTGACTCACAGGAAGGCCTGACTGCAAACAGAGCCATCCACAATTGTCCTGGCTGATGGGAGCCATCAAGATTCCAAACCACCATTAATGGCCCACACTTTGCATAATTACAGTAGGCCCTCAGAGTTATATTTCATATTTCTAGTTTCAGATACAAGAGTGATACATTTATACAAACAGGATGACCGCACTCAGTAGATTATAAGCTTTGTAAGGATACCTTAACAAGAGACCTTTTGCATGAAGCATATTCCAGTTACATTATATTCATACTCATTAGCATATTTTCATAAAATCATATAGAGTGCAACATCACAATGCTGTTCAGGGGATCTGATTAAAACCTGGACATTCCAGGGCATTTTTTTTCCATTGAGTACACCTAGTAAAACCCACACATGCCATGACCTTTGGGAAAGGAAGCCATATGTGTCCCTATCCAATTCCTGACCATGTTCCCCATCGGACACCTCAACCCAGATGTAAACAAGCTGAAAGGTTAGCAGAAGCAAAACAACTGGAGTTGATTTGGGAATTACTATGAAAAGATCTATGGTTTTCATTACCTGGTACTCTGTGATGCCAGACCATGAGAAAGCAATACAAACTAGGGAAGGAGGTTCTGCCTGACAGAGAGGGTGGGTAACCCCCCAACAGCTTCATTATTAGGGTTGTCAGAAGTTTGGCAATGGGATGTGGAGACAGTAGATTGACAGAGCCCCATGTGACTGTTGAGGAATATAAAAAAAATTAATATTGACAAAAGACACATTGCCACAGATGGGGATATCTTGATTATGCTCCAAATTCCTCATTACAAAGAACAGAATTCCCTTGCACCACCATTCAGAATCTGGTGGAATGTACTTGATCAGTTATACGGATAGGTTCCAGGGACTAGCTGGGAATACAGAGCAGTGAGGTTACCTTAATAGGTCTTCCGTCTGGTGTAAGTACCTCTTCTGAAAGTTCCATCATCTTCAAAGCCATCAAAGCAATGGGTTTTGCATGACTAAGGCTCTTCCTATGGAGCCCCGCTGCAACACAGTATGCATCACCTATTGTTTCCACCTGCAGCAATCAGACAAATCAAATGTAAAAGTATGATAATGAGCAGAGATCTGTGCCATTAGTTATCTGCAATCACAAAATGTTGCTTAAAAACATGTCAGCAAAATATCAATAAAATAAGCAATTAGACAACGGAGCATAATTACCCGAGTTTGCAAACAGGCACAGTCAAAACTCTGACATCTCATTGCATAGTTGTTCATCATCATTAACTGCAGAAGATCATTAAATCTAGGACAATGTGCACTATCAAATGAAAGATGATAACATTACCCCACAGGAAAACAGGATTTTCGGTATTAGAGTTAGACCAAAAACTAGTTACAGTTAAGAGCTGGTGCCACCATTTATTGTTCTGCTGTGGAGTAAGAACTGTACTAAGCAGTAATAATTCATAATTATTATTTACTCTATTCAAAAAATACATTAAGATGAGAGTTACTGGAGCCTAAATGTTTCCATTAAAAAACAAGTGAATAGTACATCACTTATCTTTAGAATCTTGCTCCTCTTAGGCCTGGGATAATTCAAGAGAGGTGATTTTATAGCTTACCTATAATTTTTATTTCTCATAATCCCACACCCACTGGTACTAGGGCTGACTGCTGGGTATTGTCTGCTTGTCTATTTACCAAGGTATGCAGCTCTTCTGAAACCTTTTAGTTTTGTATAGGATATTTAGGCTCTCTCTACTTCATGAGATTACCTGAGCACCAGTTCCTTTCCTCAGACCAATGAATGCATTAGATTGCTTCTCCTACCCCTTAGCCTCACTGTTCCTGATGGGAAGCCAACTTCCTGGAGTAAGGGGAGCAGGGGAAATTAAGGGATCCCTCTGGCTTAGGTCAAAATCAGCCTATGAAACTAACAAGCCCTATAATCCTCCAATTATACTGACAATCACCCTTTGCAAAGTTTGTCTGCCCACACTTCTGTAGCCAGCTCCCTGCACAATCCTTCAGTGCACTCTCAAACAGGCTTGGCTTAGAAGCATGAATGTATCTACCACCAGTCTCTTTCCTTCCCCTCAGCTCTATTAATTGAATGGCAGAAAAGCATTCTGCAAAGATTAGCATGAGAGGAGAGACATGTGCCGACTGTAGAACTGCCCTGGGAACCACTTTGTGCCTGGCCCTTTTGTCCCTGGGATGTCTACTTATATTTTGTCCTCAGGGTTGACAGAGGAGAAATCAGGACATTCAACTTGATTAATTTCCAGTCCTGGTAAGGCACCAGCATAAGAGAGACTTTGAAATCCCCCCACTATATCTAAACATTACACTGGGCACCAATCCAGAAGGTCAGTTGACCTTAAGGGAGGTAGCGAATTGGCACTCCAGTCAGGTCACCAATTACATTCTCCTGTTCTGAGGAAACAGAGTCCAACAAAATATATAGAATTCAACATCCCCAGAAGAGAAAGGGTCTTCAGCCTGCCTGTAGGTCCCTGGGGGTGGCATGCCCTTGACTCAGCAGCTTACAATGTCTCTATCCTGTCCAAGTAGGGAAGTAGAGAAAAGGAGTTGGTATGGGAGCCCAGGCCCTCTCTCTTCACCAGGCTCCAACTGAGGGCCCTGAGAGAGAAAGTAATAGCAAACACCCCAAAGTGCTCTGGGGATGCCTCCATGGGCCACTTCCTACCATCTGCTTCCCCATGAACCTCGAAGTCCTGTGCTTAAAATCCAACAGAAAATAGTAAAAACAACAGACTCTTCAGCTCAGCTGGCCTCAGCAGGTGGTAGTCTTCTTCTTTGCAGGCTCGCCTCAGGTTCACAATGGTCAAAGTTTCTAGGTTGCAGTCCATCTGCCTAGGGTCTGTCACATTCTCCTTCTATCCAGAGTTTCAGGCAAGCTGCAGTCCCTGATCAGTACCCATCTCCAGTCAGGCTCCCAGCTCAGAACTCAGCCTCCCACATTTCTCTCACTCTTTAGCCCAAGAGAGAAAGAACTCTCTCACCTGGGTTTCCTCCCTGGACTCTCTTCTATGAGCTGGGGTAGCTCCTGCTTGAAGACCCCTCCCTTGCAGTAAGAAGTATCCTTCTTCAAAAGCTTTCAAGGTAGGTCTGTCCTCCTAACCCCTCTGTCCCACTTATGAGCTTTTTGGCTCCCTTTCAAGCTTCTCCTCCAGCTGTAGTGGACTCTGCAAGTGCAGTAGGGTAGCATCATCTGGGCCCAGAACTGCTCCTAAACCTCTCATGTCCCAGTGTGGGGTTTCTACACCTCATCACAGGGTACCCCAAGGGAGAGCAGAGTACCAGCAGAAGGTGGGGAAAGCTGCTAAATCTCTTCCCTGACTTCATAAAGTTCCTGGAGGTACTTGCAGATGGAGAAGACAGCAAGTGGCATTCACTCCTACCATCTGTCTACTTAACCCCTTCCCTGTGCCCCATTCTCAGGGCAGCCATTCACTGCAGTAATACGTGTGGGGAGCCACCTTCCTGCCCACCCAATAAAACAGCAGAGCTCTTTTCCCCCCAAACACCAGTAGTTGTGGTAAGTAGACAGAGACTACAGGACAGGAAAGGAAGTAGCTAGAGACACTGAGGAGGGAAGGCAGGACCACCAGCAGCAAGGAGAGAGTGGCATGGGTTAGAATGGATATGGTGTGTGTGTGTGGGAAAGGGGAGGGGCATGAGAGCACCACTTTAAAGTCATAACAAGGCCTGCTCTGAATTTGTGTTTAGGGACCCATCTGAATATTGTGATACTTCTAAACATCGGCCTCACAGAGAAAAAAGGACAGAAAATCAAACACGCTACCTTAAAATTACAGAAGACAACTGGACTGAACACAAATAGAAGAAATTACAACCTAAGGAGTTGAGATTGGGCTATCGTAATAAAAAAAGTGATGGCAAAATTCTGCTCTTTTTTACAGTGGAGTAAATTCAGAGTAATTCCACTGATGTCAGTGCAAACAAGAAGAGATTTTGGCTCATAGATTAGTTTTTCTTGTAAAATCTAGATACATTTATTTATTTTGTCAGAGAGTTCCCCTCTTTGAAATATACATTGATATGTAAGTAAAATTAAGGACCAAATTACATTCTTATATGTTCACTCAAAGAGAGTGCATATGAGTGCAGAACTAAGTCAACAAAAATCAGTGACAAAACCTGCCCAGTTATGAAACCTCCCATACATGGAACAAATATTGGATTGACAGAAGAACATAAAAACAGCCATACTGGGTCAGACTAAAGGTCCATCTAGTCCAGTATCCTGTCTTCCGACAGTGGCCAATGCCAGGTGCTTCAGAGGGAATGAACAGAACAGGTAATCATCAAGTGATCCATCCCATCGCCCATTCCCAGATTCTGGGAAACAGAGGCTAGGGACACCATCCCTGTCCATCCTGGCTAATAGCCCTTAATGGACCTATCTTCCATGAATTTATCTAGTTCTTTTTTGAACCCTGTTATAGTCTTGGCCTTCACAACATCCTCTGTCAGAGAGTTCCACAGGTTGCTTGTGCGCTGTGTGAAGAAATAATTCCTTTAGTTTGTTTTAAACCTGCTGCCTATTAATGTCATTTGGTGACCCCTAGTTCTTGTGTTATGAGGAGGAGTAAATAACTCTTCCTTATTTACTTTCTCCACACCAGTCATGATTTTATAGACCTCTATCATATCCCCCCTTAGTCATCTCTTTCTTCAAGCTGAAAAAGGAGATCTGCTCCTGCAGATTTTCTGCATGTACTGTCAGCATGAGAGAATGAAGCTGCGTGGTGATGATCACAGTTGGGAAATGAATGGGACATAAATATGATCACTGAGTACATGCAACTCCATTCCTTAATGGTCCTCACTGCTACCAAGCTCCTCTCACATTAATGGTGAAATGTGAAACTCTAAAATTGCTAAGACTGCCCTTACAAGTGGATCTGCTAGCAATTCCTACTGTGAAGATTGCCTAACTCTTTCTATTATAAGGTGATTGTCAGCTGCTTATAACTTTACCAATCTTTAACTATTTCTGCTGAAATGTACCATGCTAAATTTCTGCCTCTGACTGGATTATTATTTTTTTTTATTCTGGCATTTCCTGACTTCTGAGTCCTTGATTTTACAACCTTTATATTTTTAAAATAGGATTTTGTATGTGCCAATATACAAGAATAGTGTAAATATGCTGTATTTGCATGACAGTGTTCAGAAGAGCCTTAAATCAACACACTTTATCTTTACTAGACAAATCCTTCCTTACCCATTGCCATTCCCACAATTCTTAAGCAAGACTGTAGTTTTATGTGTACAGTATTATGAGATATAACAAAGGTGGAAGCCAGCTTCCAGCTATTAGCCTGATCTATGTATAATTTATTATTGAATTTCTGTATTTAATTAGTCATTGATGGTAAGGATTTTAAAATAGTTATATTACTATATAAAAACCTGATCTAAAGTCATTCAATCAATCTTTGTGCAAATCAGCAATTCTGTTCTAATCTTTTGCTGTAGATCCTGAAACTGGGGTATGTAGCAATGGGGCATGGTCTCCCCCCTGACAGACAGGAAGAGAGCCGCAACCGCCCTCTGGTGGGCAGAGCCGGGATACCCACGGCCGCCCAGCCAGAAGCAGAGGGGAAGGACAGGAACTGGAAATATAAAAGACCAGCCCTCCAGCTAAGTTGAGGGATTGCTGCCAAAGAAGCAGGATGTCTCCCCACTCCCCACTGCTGGAGCCCAGACTTGACGGAGGCTGCTACAGTGCCAGAGACCCGGAGGGACTGCCGGACCTGATGGACACTGGGGAGCTGCCACTCACTGTTTATCCCAGCGAGACCGGCGACAACCCCGGAACCCAGGTACCCCCAGACTGGGAGCGTAGGAAGGAGCCGGGGGGAAGCCGAATAGCTGTGTTACTAACTGCAAGCCGGCCTACATGTTGTGGCCGGATTTCCCTGCTGACCCAGGGGCTGACCACTCCACCACTGTTAGGGCCCTGGGCTGGGACGCAGTGGAGCGGGTGGGCCTGCGTCCCCTTCCCCCTGCCACCCC